AAGCAATCTGCTATCAGGTAAAGTAGGTAAAACTTTTGTAAGGCAAATGCGGTAGGCAAGGACTTCCTGAATAGAACCTCAGCTACACAAGGAATAATGTCAAGAATCTACAGATAGGATTATATCAAGTTAAAAAGCTGCTGCAGAGCAAAGGAAAGAACCACAGTGAGAGAAAACCTACAGAATGGAAGAAAATTTTTCCAGCTCAGACACAGCATCTAGCCTATAGAAAAAGTTTCCCCAAAATAAATAACACAATATAAAATGGCAACTTAAATGAAAGACACTTCTCAGAAGTACAAATGAATAAAAAAACTTCACCATCACAGGCCACTAAAGAAATGTAAATTAAAACAACGTTGAGGTTCCACCTTACTACAGAAAAAAAAAAGGCTAACGTCAGGAAATCAAATCACAAATGTGCCAAGGATTCAGGAGGGAAAAAACCTTCTTATGTTGTTGCTGGGAATATAAACTAGTACAGCCACTATGACAATCAGTATGAAGATTCCTCAACAACAACAACAACAACAAAAAACCTCCATTCAACCCAGCTATTCCTCTTGTAGGTACCTACCTGAAAGAGCTAGATGCACTGTACTACAATGACACATGCATACCATGTATAGCAGAGCAACTCATAATGGCTGAGTCTTGGAAGCAGCCTATAAGTCTATCAGCAGATGCATGAATGTGGTATTTATTCAGAAAGGAGTACTACTGTAACATAAAGAAGGGTAAACTTGAGTCATCTGTGAGAAAATGGATACCCCTGAGGCCATAATGTAAAATGAAATACATCAGACACACAAGCTTAAATATCACACGGTTTCTCTCGGATGAGAAATCCAAAGTATACATGAAGAGCGAAGTAAAAGGTGTATAGGAAACAAGGAGGTAGATCTTTTTCAAATGGGAAGGGAACCAAGAGATGGGGACCAAGAGACTGAAGAGGAGCGGGGCAGAGAAAAGGAAGGGAAGGAGACAAAAAAGGACCCAGGATGTGTTATGTGCATGTACCAGCTCTCCATGGTGAAGGTAATCATTACGTACTGCAAGCATGTACTAATAAAAAAATTTTTTTAAAATGTATTACAGTAAAAGATGTACTGCTATTCATTCCCCTCAATAGACTCCTCATATTGAACACATTTCTCCCATTGTATTTTTCACTTGCTGAAGCAGTTCTGGAAGTCCTCTTTCAGGTTTTTATCAGGTGTATCAAAAGTGTAGTGACCGCTGTTGTCAAGTACTAACACAAAGACAGGCTCATAAAAACATCATGCTGTTTTTCATTCACCTTACTCACCAGATCTGGCAAAATCCAACTTCTGGCTCTTTCCCAAAGTCAAAACGACCGTAAAAGGTAAACATTTTGTATCAACTCAGGACACTGCCAGTCACAGCAACGCAACTAAGGACACTCATGAAAGAGGACTTCCAGGCTAGGCGTAGTGATACACACCTGTAATCCCAGCCCTAAGGAGGCTGAAGCAGGAGGATCGCTGAGTTCAAGGCAGCCTGGGCTACATATCCAAGTTCGGGACCAGCCTGAACTACATAGCAAAACTGTGTCTCAGAAAAAAAAAAAGAGAGCGAGACAAAGTCCCGAACTGCTTCAGAAAATGACAAGATTGATGGGATTAAGTGCATTTAAAGCTAGGAGTATTCTGAGTGGGATTACTGACAATGTGTCTTTTACTGTGTAATAAATTTTTGAATTTAAACACTATTTTTCTCACACTTCTAATAATGTGAAAAACTAATCATAAAAGATGGAGAGAAGACAGAAACTACAAAGATACATAATGGTCTTACGGTTCTCATTTGCAGATACGAAAACAGTAACTCACAATGAATGTGGTATATTCCAGGGATTTTCCCAAACCACCCCCACCCGCCACTTCTTTTTTTTGCAGTGCTGGGGATTGAACCTACCATAGCTCTCCCAAAATAAGCCGCAGTATAATTTTTTCAGGGTGTTTGTAATATAAGCCCCACCCCAAAAACAAGTCCCAGTTAAGATGATCAGCCAGCCAGATGCACTAAATAGCAACACATGATAGACAAACTGAATCATAAAGTAGTATTAATATATAATTGAATATAAATGCGTATTAACATTAATACTTCAATGATAACAAATTATCATTAAGCATTTGAAAATACACAAGTGGATGCCTTTAGACAAGAGGTAAATGTCTATGTAAACAGATGAACTCAAGATTTACTGCGAAATGACCAGAGTAGACACAATCTACTGCTGCCCTGCAGCAGAGGCTCTGAACACCGCCCAGGAGCAACGGGTCTCCAGGAAGTCTCACTTATGGGGAAACCTTGTCATCCATATGCAATCAGACAATTATATTTATTTTAAACCATACGGATGTGGTTAAAAATTTTTTAAATAATTTTAAAACATCACTGGTCTCAAAGTAGTTCTGTTATTTTCTAAATCAATAGATATTAGAATATAATACAACTTCTATGATGTGGTCAGGACTACAAGAAATAGTCCAAAAAACTATTAACTCTTACTGAAAAATTACAAAAATTTAACCCAAAATACTATAAAATGTTATTGAAACTAAGGGGGAAAAAAACAGAAAAACTTAATCCAGAAAAAGGACCCCTTCTGTTCCAGAGGATGGGGAACACTACTCCAGAGATGGGCGCACGTCACGTAACCCCGGCCACACATGCTCTCACTTCAGAATAGGAGATTCCTGTAAGGATAAACAGCACCTTTCTCAGGCTGGTATTTAGCCCTAGTTGGCAAAAAGGGAGAGAAGAGTGTGAGTCCTGACTGTTACATAACTAACTAGCTATTGACCCACAAACAAAATGTCACTTCTACGAGCTTTCATTTCTTCACTTAAAAAAACAAGGCTAAATCTACCTCCTCTAATCGCTTCCTACTCACTGCACTAAGAGCTGTTAGAAGATAAAATCAGAATGAAAGCTAAGTTGTGCAATACGGTGTAACTATTACTATACAGAACACTGCGTGAGGTAACAGGTGAAGAAATTTCTAAGTAACGAAATTTGAGTGTCAAGCTAAACACCTGATTCCATAGGAGATAACCATTAAACCCAGATGTCGTGGCACATGTCTGCAATCCCAGCACTCTAGGAGGCTGAGGCAGAAAGATCCCAAATTCAAGCCTTGGCAACTTGGGGACTTGGTAAGACTCTGTGTCTAAATAAATATACACACACACACACACACACATATATAAAAGCCTTAAAGGCACTAGGTTCAATCTCCACTACCACAAAAAAAAAGCGAGAGATTTTATTAGCTACATTTTGTGTGGCAGTATATGCCTACAGTTCCTGCAATCTGGGAGGCTGAGGCAGGAGGTTCGCAATTCAAGTCCAACCTGGAAAAGTTAGCAATTTAGCAAAATCCTGTCTCAAAAAATAGAAAAAAGGGCTGGGGATACAGCTCAGTATGAAGGCCCTGAGTTCAATCCTAGTAAGGGGTGGGGAGGATGGGCCTGTCAAAGAAGGGGAATAGAGGGGGATGCAGGGACTTGGTAGGGGTGGGTGTGTGTAAATCAAGGAGGGAATTATGTGAAAGCACGTACAACAGAAACAAGCAGAGGTCCAACACAGTCCAGCGCTGGGGCTAGGACACTGGCAGAGGAGTGGGCGGGCTTATGCACTCAGACAGGTCTGGGAAATTGGGAGTGAGGAGAGGAGTGTCTCGGTCCATCTGCCACAGTCTTGCTGGGTAAAGCAGAAAAGGTTGGGAACAACAACGGGACGGATCTCAGACGGCAACAGGAGGAAGGACCGTAGCTTCTCACAGGGAAGGCGGCCATCTGCTCTGGCTGAGTGCAGTCCTAGAGATGCTTCTCACGGGTGCACAGAGGTAAGTTAGGGCAACGTATATCCCTTCATCTTCAAGTTTTATACAAAGGTTAAAGAAGGAACACCAAAAATTTTCTGCTCACATGAAAACCATAGAACTCAATGAGTCTGTACATTTAATACTATGACTTAAAACTATTTTCTTTATAAAACAATATCATAACTGACTTCTATCCCATTCACTTTATATGGCCAAGAAAAGATCAAACTGTGTTTGGTATATTCTATTTAAAGTAGCAAAGAAATATGACTTTTCTCAAAATAGCGTATTTTAGCACCTAACAAGTTGCATTTCAGGTATGCTGGGAACTATTTCAAGTATTTGGTCCGTTTTCCAGAATACCCAGTGGTTAACATATTAGAGGTGGCGTTAAGTCGTAACATTTTAGCCAACAGATCTTACAAACCTGGAATTGTAAAAATGAGGTACTTTACTACAGTAATTCCCTAAAGAGTACGCAATGCTAGTAACTTATTTATCCACCTACCAAGCCAGGAACTGGAGGTTACCCTGGAGTCTCCCTTTCTCTAGCCTCCTATTAATCATTTACCACCGTTACAGAGCTCTGAGAAAATGTTCCTCCGCCACTCTTACCCTTTGTCTGTGTGTTAAGACACTGACTAAACTGGCTGTGCCTCCCAGTACTACAATGATTAGATTTTGGACTGATGTCTAGTGCCCGACGTCTGGTAATGTACTCTGACCTCACAGGATTATAAGGCTGCAAAGACAGCAGAGCGACCCCAAGTCACAGTCACACCCCTTCCCGCACAGCTAGCTCTTTACCACAAAAAATGCAACTACAAGCAAAAAGATGTGCTTACAGTTACTCAAAAATGTGACCTCTCCAACTCCGGAGGTCTGGTTAGAACTGTACACCTTTCTCTGCTAAAATTCTATGGGCAAGAAATAATGTCAAGTTCTTGGAAGCACAAGAAGCAAGGCCCTAGTCCCAGTAGTGTTACATGTTCATATAATCTTGACTATATTATAAATAATAAAAGAACAAATCCATCCACATACTTATAACAATTTTTAATATATTTTTATTTCAAAAACCACTAACTTGGCACTTTGCTCTAGTCTAAAAATACAACAAAATTTTTAAAAACAAAGTAATTACCTGAGGAGAATCAAAAGGATAACGACTACTAAACTTAAATAAAAGTTGAAATTTTTCTCCTTCATATAAGGTACCTGGTGCACCTTCCATGTCTACGATCCACCTAGAAGAGAAAGAAACAAATTAAAAACTTAGGATAAAACGGACTGGGGACAAGAAAAAAAGGAATCACCGGAGGCCAGACCCTAGGACTACAGTCCTGTGTGCGCAATCGCGCACTTCACCCTCCCAGCAGCTCTCGGAGTGGCTTTCTGCTGCCCCTGCTCCAACCCCACCTCTCACTGAGGGGCTACGTAACTACACCAAGGTCAGAGAGCTAGCAGAAGACAGAGCAAAATCTTAACCCGGGTCTGAAAAGATAAAATAAAAATAAAAATCCAAGCGCAGGTGTGTTGGCAAAGTATATGCTGCATTCTTCCTAGCAGATTTATGTTCTCGACTTTTTTCAAAAGACTATTTCTAGTGATTGAAAAACTTTCATGGACAATATCAAGCTAATCAACTCTTTCTGATGTCAACATTAGAAGCAATGAAGAGAAGAGGTACTATGCAAGACTGCAAAGATACAATTTTTTGTTTTGTTTTCTGAGACCAGGTCTCACTCTGTAGCCCAGGCTGACTCAAACTCACAGCAATCCTCCTGCCTCAGCCACCTGAGGGCTGGGCATACCTGCGTGCGCCACCATGCCCAGCAAGAAAAAACTCTAAAGATCCATGTCTGTCTGACCTGTTTTCTCATGGGTACTGCAGTTTTAAAGACTAAACGGGGAAGGAAGCTAAGCAGCCCTGCTTACTCGATCCTCTTCCTCTGATGGCTAAAGGCACGGCTCCACGCTGCGCCCCCTCTACCTCTCCGTGTTTCCGCTGCTCAGCACGTCCCCGCGGGCCTGCACCACCACGTGCATGACTGTCTCACCGGGCGGCCGGGACAGTCCCACAGGCGGCACAAGCTGCCTGGCGGGACAGTCATGCATGTACAGCCTCCTCGGAAAGCTGTTAATAGAGCCCCCAACAGACTTGTTCTGCACCTACACAGGGTTACTTTGTTTTCATTTATGACCATCACAAATATGCATAAGGGGCCGGGGACATAGCTCAGCAGCACAAGCGCCTGCCTGGCAAGCGCAACGTCCTGAGTTCGATTCCAGGTACCAAAAAAAATACGAGTATGTTTTTACTCATAATCCATACATTACCCCTTGATATTTTCTTTACAAGGAGCAGATAAATATGGCAAAGGTGATACAGAGCTGCATTTAGAAGACAAAGTAAACCAAAATCATTGAGTGAGAAAGGTGAGGTACAATACACCCAGTTTATAACTATATAATGAAAATATTTTTATCTTTTGGTGTTTTTGAGACAGTTTCACTATGCAGTTCAGGCTGGCTTGCGCTCACTGTGTAGCCCAGGCTAGCCTCAAACTTGCAGCACTCCTCCTGCCTCAGCCTCCCAAGTGCTGGGATTACAGGTGTGCACTACCACGCCCTGCAGAAAATATTTCTTTTTTCATTACAGATACCAGATGTATGTCGAGGGGACACAGGAAGCGGTCCTTCTGCTCACCCACTGGGCTGACAAACGGCAAGGTGTACTCACACGTATCAAATTCTCTATGGGTGAGCTCTACCCACTAGCTCAGTGTTACACTTTTGTGCATTTATAATTTTTTAAATTAGATGTTTTGTTTCTATTTTTCTTGTAGAGGTGAATTCTAATTCATCCAATTCCATACAATGTCACATGGAAAACCACTGTTACAACTTTGAGCAGAGGGTAAAAGTGAGTCATCCGGTGATTAGGCCACCGGTGAGGCCTTGGATCGTATAAGCCAGAGGAGTTGACTACATATTAACAATTTAATCCTTTACTTTATTGATATTTTCTTGTTCAGTAAATATTTTATAATATAATAAAATTCACAAAATTAAAATAATACAAATACTCCAGAAAATAAATACAGGTTTCAGACACCTACCTTATGCTCCGTCATGAAATTTAACCAGATACCAGGTAAAGTGAGTTCCTAATTATAGATCTTTTGTGTGTAACTTACTGCAGTTAGCCAATTCTTTTAGCTTTATACTTTTCAAGTATAAAACTTTATTTCAAATATAGGAAACAAGCCAGAACATAGTATTAGAATTCTAGTTATCATAGTATAGACTTATGAATGTATAAAATAATAAACGTGGGTTGGGGAATAGCTCAGTGGCAGAGCACTAGCTGTGCAAGATCCTTGGCTCTGCTGGACGTGGTGGCGCACACCTGTAATCCCAGTACTCGGGAGGCTGAGGCAGGAGGATCACTGTGAGTTGGACACCAGCCTGTGCTACAAAGTGAGCTCAGGACCAGCCTGAACTCAAGAGCGAGACCCTGTCTCAAAAAGAAAAACCAAAACAAGATCCTTGGCTCAAACTCCAGTACCATAATAAATAATAAATGCCTATTCCAAGAAATTAGCTAAAGCACACAGACCCTTCAGAGCATGACTGTTTCTTTCCAAAATGCACGCTGAGGACCTCAATTGTAAAGCAGATATTCATCTCCGTGTTGCTGGAAAGATAACACTACCTATACAAAACACCTAGTGCATTCCTAACATCAGAGCCAGTGCACAGTAAATCAAATACAGTGCAAAGGCTGTGTCAAAACAAAACACTTACTGCTGGTATGGATCAGTGGTACCATGCTTGTGTGAGGGCCTGAGTGCTATCTCCAGCATGGCAAAAAACATAATCTCTGTTCTCTTTATTGAATAGGAGCTTCCCAGCCTTCAATCTTCTTCATCTCACTCCCTACACACCCACCCGCCAACATTTCCTAGGCAGTGATACCCCAAAGAAAAGTCAGAGGACTCTCTGGTGCTCTTTCATTCTGTTTATTCTGTTTATTTCTACGACACACAACCTACTCTACATTTCCTGCGATCTATACAAGCAAAATGTTTAATAACAGCTAAGTAAATATGTCATTTATCATGTAAAAATCTGCAATTATTTTCAGCATTGTTCATGTTAATTTAAAAAATATTTTACTAATTAAAATGACATGTTCGTTGTAAAAAAAAATTAGAATAAAAACCCACACAAAGATAACCATTGTTAAAAAGGTTTTCTGGATACATTTCTTTCTTTTTTTTTTGGTCTTACTGAGACAGGATCTCGCTATGCAGTTCAGTCTGGCCTTGAGCTCACTTTGTAGCCCAGGCTGGTCTGGAACTCACAACCATCCTGCCTCAGCCTCCTGAGTGCTGGGATTACGCGCGTGTGCCGCGCCCCCCGGTGGGTAACTTTCACTCTAGTCATCTTGCAGTCTCCTGTGTCACCGATGCCTCCAGTGGGAATCTAGTAGTGTTATTATGCGCAACTTAAATTACGCACTTCCACTCAAACCAAACAGGAGGTGTGAGCAGGCCGCTCTCCCAACCAGCCTCAGTTCTTCTATTTCTGTCGTTATTATTCTGCAACGCCAACATTGAAAATTAGAACTTGGTGTTTTTCACATCTCTTGCCTCCTAATCAAAGATAGCTATCTATTTTACTTTAGAGAAAAAATGGACCTGAGTGGATTAAGAAAAGATAAATACAACATGGCCCTTCTGACTGATTTTCCAAGGTAATTATACAAAATCTTTGCCTTACGTGCTGACTGTAGACCATGTAACTCACAGGATGCCGTCTCACTGCACTACCTTCATAAACACTATTACTAACAGTTAAATTACTCGCAACCTGTCTTCAGAATTAGTAGTGTTAAAAGGAGCATAGCTGTAAATCGACTGTTTTTCTGTATCTCTGTTCCTTTCTTAGATGGGGGGAAAGGGGTGGTATATTTACTAAGTCAAGGGATATGGTGTCCGTATTTTTTTAAAGATTTTTTTTAGTTTGTTTTGTTTTTTGGTGTTGTGGATTGGATCCATGTCCTCACAGATCCTGAGCATATGCCAAACAAGAAAGTTTTTAAGGTTGTCCTTTAATATGAAACATGTAAAGCAGTTTCCTAACACTCATAGAGCTTGCCTAACATGTGCAAAGCCCTAGACTCAATCCCCAAAATCTCAAAAGTTTTACAAATTATGAAACAATCCACATGACATAATTAAGTACAACACTGATATGTACTATGCGTAAGTGCACAGAATTATATCAGCATGTATATGTGCATATATATGCATACATGCATATATATATACATAATGTCAGCAATAAGGAAGTGCTTCAAATACTTACTGTGTGATTGAATTTTGAACACTCTTTTCATTTAAAGTCATCCCAGGAGGTGGATCATTTTGCAAAGCCAACAGTTCTTTCTGTAGTCGTTTCTAGAAAAGATCAATAGTTAATTTGTACTTTTTATTTTTAACAACATATTTTTCCAGTTATACAGTCTTAAATTATTCAAGAAATTTCCTCCAAATGCTGAAAATATTTTTTGCTTTACGAACTCCCTACATCTTATATTCCTAATTCTCAAAATTTAAATGGTCTTGCCCTATAATTCACAATCTAATGTCAGACTGCTTCAACACTTATGCTGTCAGGTAGGTCTGAAGAGTAGCCAGTTACCTACACAACAGCTTCTTTAAGACTTTACATAGCTGCCCTATATGTCATAAGGAATGATTAGTCTAGATTCAATGTGATTAAAAGTAGTCTAGATTAACTATGATTAAAAGTTTTGTGCTCGCTTCGGCAGCACGTATACTAAAATTGGAACGATACAGAGATTAGCATGGCCCCTGTACAACGATAACATGCAGGGCCTGGGGATTTAGCTCAGCGGCACAGCGCCTGCCTGGCAAGTGCAAGGTCGTGAGTTCGATTCCTGGTACCAGAAGAAAAAAAAAAAACAGGATAACATGCAAATTCACAAAGCTTGCCATATTTCTGACACCACTGTGGGATCATGCCACATACATAAATGCCATTACTTATTTTGATGTTTCCAAAACATCAAAACATTTTCAAACACAACTAAGATATAAAATATAGCCTAAAAATGAAGGGAAAGAAAACTTGTTGTTTTCCAAATATAAAACCATAGTTTTCCATAATCCTGAAAGAATGTGTCACTTCAGACACAGAAACTGTACAAGTAACCCCTTATGCTAAAACCTTTTTAAAGTTTTACAAAATAATTTAAAAGACTGGGTGTGGTAGTACACACCTATAATCCCAGCACTCTGGAGGCTGAGGCAGGAGGATCGTTGCCAAGTTTGAGACCAGCCTGGGCTACAAAGTGAGCTCAAGGACAGCCTGAACTGCATAGCCATACCCTGTCTCAAAAAGGCAAAAAAATAAATAAGTAAAAATAAAAATAAATTTACATTCTAATAACCATGCTTATTTTAACTAGAATCATTTGCACATACTCTAATCTTTTAAGGATATTGTTATGATTTATTTATTATAAAATGGTGGCAAAGATAAACTACGCATGCTGCAGCAGGCTATTCTCACTGAAAACTCTAAAAGGTTCATCGTCACTGGAATATAACACATCAGGGCCTGGGATATGTAAAGTTATTCTTCCACACAGATAACCTAAAATGGCTTTGTATTTTGTATTCGTATTTGTACGGTACTGTTTACCTCTTGTTGTACCAGTGGACTTTGTTTTCTGTGTATACCTAAGCAAAACAAAACAAAAACCACACCAATCTCTAATTTATAGGCTTTAAAGTTTGCTTTTAAACCCATAAATGAAAATAACTGGGGTAGAGCTCAGTGATAGAATGAAAAGCCCTGGGTTACAACAAACGTCACTGCATGCAAGAGTATAACAATTCTACAATTATACTTCTGGGAGTAACGAAAATAGGCATGTTCATCTGCTCAGAATGCAAGAGTTCTCTTCTAAAAACTGGCTTCTGCTTCTTGTGGACAGTGAAATACAAAGGCAAAGTTTCTAGATATTTTCAGTTCATAGCACCTTTAAATAAGCTTATAGCTATTCCAGTATCACTACTGTTCAGGGTAAAGACGACTGTATCAAACAGCACACACCCCAACATATACAAACACTGCTATCATCAAGACGAATTAATCTTAAAAGGTTATGGAACAAAATGAGCAAACCCAAACAACACCAGTATGATCAGATATTCAAAATCAAACACTGTAAATGCATCGCTCACAGTAAGTCTACAAAGAAAATTAAAGGGTAACAAACGTAAAGGGCAGCAGTTCACTGTGGGGAGAAAAGGCAGAGAGGAACAATCAAAAGCACATGCCCCCCGGGTATGGCAGGGAACGACTATAATCGCAGCACTCGGGAGGCTGAGGCTGGAGGATCGCTGTGAGTTCGAAACCAGCCTGGGCTACAAAGTGAGCTCGAGGCCAGCCTCAACTGCATAGCGGAGATCCTGTCTCAAAAAGACAAAACAAACAATCAGAAAAAAAAAAACAAACAGAAAAACCACATGCTCAAGTCTCAAGGCTGGTGACAACTTTCATTCCTTAAGCAAGTGTTTCTTTAGGCCACCTTCTTTGTTTGTTCTTGAGACGGTGTCTCACTATGCAGTTCAGGCTGACCTTGAACTCACTATGTAGTTTCAAATTGGCCTGGAACTCAGAGTGACCCTCCTGATCCTCCTACCTCAGCCTCCCAAGTGCTGGGATTACAGGCATGTGCCACCACGCCCGGCTCTTCAGGCCACTCTTAAATATGGCCGTGAAAGGAAGTAAAGCAGTCGAGAGTCGTGCAGAGCGTGGTAGAGAGGGTGTCTGCTAAGGAGAACCTTGCCAGGCACAGTGGCTGCCACCGACCATTCTAGATACCGGGAAGTCTGTGGCCAGAGGATGACAAATTCAGTCTCAGCCCACACAACTTAGTGAGCCTTGACTCAAAATAAAATAATAAAAAGGGCTGGAGATGCAGCAAAGTGTCCCTGTGTTCAATTCCCAGTACTGTACCCAAAAAAGGATAAGCTTAAGTATATGCAGCTGGGCATAGTGGCGCACACCTGTTATCCCAGGACTCGGGAGGCTGAGGCAGGAGGATCGTTGTGAGTTCGAGACCAGCCTGGGCTACAAAGTGAGCTCAAGGCCAGCCTGAACTGCAGAGTGAGACCCCGTCTCCAAAAAAAGACAACAAGTAAAGAGGTGGGATGGAATACAAGCCAAAACACTTTAATATGATCACTATACAGTGATCTCAGGGTAGTGATTTTTCTTTTAACTAATCTGTATTTTCTAGTATTTCCACAAGAAACATACGTTTTGTTTTTAACTAAAAAAAAAAATCCTCCTCAGAACAGTGTAGCAGATATACTAGAGAAGTTAGGCCTCAAGTGAAGGCCAGAAAGTCAGCCAAAAAACTAGTAGGGAAAAAAAAGAGCTGAGACAGGACTAATGAGCGACTGGAAGAATCAAAGGATTTAATAAGCACTCCCAAGAAACTGGACTGGGGGACAGTGGATGTGGGAAGTGAAAAACAATGTGGGTGACCCCAGGATCTTCATTTACATAGAGGATGAGGGCACTAAGCAGGAAAGAAACACAGGAAAACGAGCAGCGGGCAACTGGTCTCCGATTAAGCGGGGAGGGAGGCAGCTGAGCTTAAGAGCAGTTTCGGACCTGTGCAGTTCAGGTTTCTTGTGGAACATTCAGATTTCCAGATAAAAACGGAACCGATGAGAGCTGAACAATGACTTCCCCTTCAGTGAAGCTGCCCTCTTCAACTGGGTAAGCCCTCTACCATGCACCCAATATATGCAATATGTACTGTAACCTGCTTGTCTCTAAAAGCAGTAATCAGTACTAAGCCTAACAGAGGGGATGTTAGATTTAAGTTAATCATTTTTTCACTGTGGAAGAATATTTAAATTTTTTTCCTTGGAAACATTCCCAATTTTTTACCTTTCAGATTTGGCTAGGCTACCTAGAGATTTTGATAAATAAATTACTCAGGTAAATGAAATGTCAAAAAGCACAGAATATAGCATGCAGTGGAAAATGTAGACTAAAGCCATAGCATGATACACAGCAACTCTGAAATATGATAAATAAAAATGACTGATAATACCGTCCTCAGAGTAGAAAGTCTGGTTTGAGCTACAAATTGAACTTCAAATCTATCACAAAAGAATCTGGATAAGCTTGAGACATTTTAGCTAAACTGATGCACCTTGAGATCAGCATCTTAAGTGAAATAAATCCAACCCACATACATACACACAGCTTCTCTGGTGTGAGAAACTGAAAATGTGTAATAAATACTGGGAGAGGAGAAGAGTATGTTCAAATGAGAAAGGGAATAAGAGAAGTGGAAGGAGAAAGGAAGGGTCAAGAAAAAAAAGACAGCACAAGAAAGAAATGGAAACCAAGCTTTTGTAAAACAGGAGGGGAAAAAGGAATGAAGGGAGGAAAAGGGAATGGGAAAAAAGGAAGGTGTGTCATGTACGTGTGTGTACAAATCCCCTATACTGAATACTGCCATTATGTATACCTAACATGTACCACTTAAAAAAAGAACTAGGTATTAGTGTATCAGCGCATTTCACGTATTTGTTCATAATGTAAGCAAAGCACAAACCTTGAGCGTATCAGTCAGCTGAGCACAGCAGCACATGCTGTAACACCTCTGCTCCAGGAGGCTGATGAAGGGTAGCGAGTTCAAGCCCACCGTGGGTGACTTAGCAACCTACTAAGACCGTATCTCAAAAACTAAAAAGGGATGGGGATACAGCTTGGTGAGAAGGCTCCAGGTTCAATCCCAAACACACACACACACACACAAAGTATGTGCTATAAAGAATATGCTATGAGTTGAACGTGTCCATCCAAAACCTTTATGTTGAAATCTCCAATGTGCTGATATTCAGATGGAGTCTTTGAGAAGTAACTAGGTCATAAAGGCACAATCCTGAGGGACTGTGCTGCATTACTCTCCCACGAGAACACAAACCTAGAAGGTGCCCTCTATGAAGAGGCCCTTTCCAGCCACCAAATCTGCCAGGGCCTTGATCTTAGAATCCCTAGCCTCGCCAGGCACACGCCTGTAATCCCAGCACTCAGGAGGCTGAGACAGGAAGACTGTTGCAAGTTTAAGACCAACATGGGCTACAAAGTGAGCAGCTAGGAGGCTGAAGTAGGAAGATCATCAGTTTAAGCCCAGAGAAGGCTACAGAAAGCTCAAGGTTAGATTAGACTACAAGGCCCAATCTCAATAAAGCAAAACAATAAAAGACACACACATTAAAAAAAAAAAAACTTCCCTTCAAGCAAAAATTCTAAATTTGCAAACAAGGCAAATTGCCTACTTGTTTCCCCATTTTCCAGCCAATAACTCAAAGAACACAAACCAAAAAAACCACACACACTGTTCCAATGGTCAATCTCTGCTTCTTAAGGCCCAAAGAATGCTCTCCTCCATTCCTAAAATCCCACCTTTCTTTTCTGGATCATGGTGTCATAATAACCACTTTGGTTTCTAATAACCTCAGCTTCACTCTTCCATTCCATAACCCCTCCACCCTATACCTCCGGGTCTCTCCTCACTTTAAAACAAAATTATCTGTCACCTCCCTCCATGCCTTCCTTTTTCACGGTCCAGTTCCTTGAACCCAGTCAACGTCCATCAACTTCACCTCCAGACACACTCACTCAAGCTTCTATCTACCCCTACGAGCCTCTCAAGGCGCAAGGAGGCTTGTTTACCAAATCTACAGGAGGTCTTACTGAACTGACACAGTCTTTCACGCAAAGGCCTCTCCTTCTGATTCTGTTGTACCGAAGAGCACTCTTCCGTTTCCTCTGTACTTGTACTTGCTGGCTCCTCTTTCTTTGTAGGCATTCCTAATGCAATGCACATAACGACCTTTTTTGCAGTGACTTCCTTCTCCATGACTTTAAATTCTCTACCACCAAGTATTTCAATAAATACTTTGTTGGGAAAATTGGGGAAGTCAAAGCTCGGCATGATGGCGCACCCCTGCAATTCCACTGCTCAGGAGGCTGATGAAGGAGAATCACCGTCAATTCAAGGCCACCCTGGGCTACATAAGCAAATTCAAAGCCAGCCTCCACTACACAGTGCGACCCTGTCTCAAAAGAAGAAACAAAAAAAGGGGCGGGGTCATTACACACATAGATTACGTCAGTCAGTAACTGGGAAACTGTTCGTCAGTAACCGGTCGTGGTGTGCATGCCCGTCATCCCAGCTACTGCACTTGGGAGGCTGAGGCTAGAGGATCCCAAGTTGGAAGCCACCCTCAGCAACTCAGCAAAACCCTGTCTCAAAAAAAAAAAGAACAGGGATGTAGCCACAGTGCTTGGCTCCATCCCCAGCACCACCGAAAAAGGAATCCAACTAATAAACCATAGCACACAGTAAAAACACTGCAGCTCAATTCTCCTTGTACCAAAAGACAATTTCCAAGGTTTTATCTTTTTAAATTCTTTGGCTTAAAAGGAAACCTAGGATAGATCTCTTGTCCTTACAGATTTAGTCTCAAAGTAACACCCATCTCATGATTTGCAATTAACTGAGCATTGTTGTTAGAACATTATTCTAACAGTTTTTTTAAATGCGCTATACTCAAACAAAAAAAAATAAAAATAAATGTACTGCATTCGGATTGTCTTTTCATTGTCCTAAAGCTAGTATTTTCCAATAAGCACAAAATCTATTTTAGATAAGCAAAACTGCCAAGCATGGTAGTGCATGCCCACAATCCCAGCACTCTGGAGGCTGGAGCGGGAGGATCAAGTTGGAGACCATCCTGGTGCACACAGCAAATTCCAGGGAAGTCTGGACTAGCAATCAGAACCTAGCTCTGAGAGATAAACCAAACTGATACTACAATTTCTTTAAGAACATTTCTATTCTGTCAAATAGAGTTGTATTAATTATAAATACGTAAATTGGAAAGAGTGAAATTACTAGAGTACTTTGTGAAATGCAAGTACACCCTAAGTATCATAAACCTAGGAAACTCTAAACGCTGGGCCCACTTTTTTCATTAAAACGAAAACTGATCTGTAGACTAAATGACCTCTAAACTTCCTTTTTGTTCAAAGTTCCAGAATCTGTTATTCTACTTTATTTCACAAATTAAAGTACGGAATGTTCTTGTGCACATTGTTCTAATTCAATCATACACACCTACAATACTTGCCAGTAGTTTTACAAGTGATACACACACATACACATTCGCCTCATAGTTTTAGCATCTTTCGACATTGTCTTAACTATCCTGTACAGCACATATTTAAAATTAGGGTTAATTTCTATATACACACACACCCTTGGAATTTTAATGGCTTAAAATGTATTCTAAGGCTGGTTACAGTGGTGCATGCCTATAACCCAGCACTCGGGAAGCTGAAGCAGGAAGATCAGAAGGATCGATCTGAGTTCCAGGCCAGTCTGGTCTACATAGTGAGTTCAAGGCCAGCCTAGACTACATAGCGAGATCCTGTCTCAAAAAAATAACAAGAAGTCTGTAGAATGCGTTAAAAATGTGTATGTAAGTATGTGTGTGTGATCTATATCTATATCTATATATACAAACAAACAAATGAACTTTGGCTTTTGTACACAGTCAAACTCCTAGTTAACCAACTGAACAAAGCACCACTGTGAACCCACACAGGCCCACAGTCCATGACAATGTGTCTCACAAGCTATCTAAAGTAAATCACCATTTTTAATCAAACACAGTGCTGAAGGAAAAGCCACTAGGTATAAACAATTCCCCTTTGCTATCTTTTACTTACTTACACATACACAAACTATTACACAGCCTTGTGCATTTCTAAACACAGTACTATTTTTTACATGTAAAGATTTCCATCAGCAGGAATAAAACTTTAAAAATACTTCCAGCTGGGTGTGGTGGTACATGCCCATAATCCCAGCATTTGGGAGGCTGAGGCAGGAGGACTGCTGTGAGTTTGAGGGCGGCCTGGGCTACAAGGTGAGCTGAAGGCCAGCCTGAGCTGCATAGTGAGACCTTGTCTAAAAAAGATGATAGATAGATAGACAGACAGACAGAGAGACAGACAGACAGATAAAAGAACTTCCAAACCTTATGACTGCAGGTTACTTTATCAAACCTAAATATCTGCTTAATGTAAAGACAGCCTGGGCAATGACATGCTAGGGATACAGTGATCTGTCTTTTTCCTCAGTAAACTCAGTTATATTACCCTGGGATTTTAGGGTTTCATCAGTACCTCTGCCAAACAATAGTAGGTGGAAATTTCTCATTTGCAGTTAAAGTCATTAACTAAGCCAGTAAGGGAAAAAAGATCACATTGAATGGTTATAGAAGCTTTGTTCTTAGTGCTAGGGATTGAACCCAGGGACTCTGCACGCTAGATAAACACTAAACCACCAAGCTATTCCTCTAGCTCAAAGAATTTTTTTTATATAGTCTCACTAAGCAGAACAGACTGGCCTTGAATGTATAATCTTCCTGCCTCAGCCTCCAGAGTGCTGGGATTACAGCTATCACTACTAGCTTCAAAGATCTTTTTTGTAACCTAAAAAAAACTGTTGAAATGCTTCAGACCTGGTACCTACTGTACGAGGACTGAGGGTATACTCATTGGGAGAACACTTGCCTAGAATGTGCAAGGCCCAGGGTTAGGATTCAATTCCTAGCACCCTTCCCCCCCACAAAAAAAACTGCATATCACAACCAATATTTTCATACAGATCAGATTCAAATTTCTAAGTCTTCTTAAAAACAATGTTTGCTTACAAACTTGGGCCTCAGTTGCCAAAGAGAGCCCTAGTATGATTTTGAGATCCTCAGAAAGAATAACTTTAAGCCAGGCGTGGTGGTGCACGCCTGTAATCCCAGCACTCGGGAGGCT